TGGCTAATTCCCTGTTTTTAGCTCATTCCAGTGCCTGGCATTTAACTGGAGTCCCTTTCCAAAAGCCTCCGAGTTCCGAGTTCTAAGAGATAATGGCAATGTGAGTTTCTCCACTCTCAAGCCTTTTTTCCTCCCCTCTCCTTCCCCTGCACATCACCTATATGGACACCTTTATACTCCATGAGCAGAAATTCCTATTGCCTCTAATCCCCATCCCGCACATAGCCAGTTAGGTGATGAGGTTTCTCCCAATATTTTTGATACTATTTGTGGTTGTTTCAATTGCTTGGAATAAGGTGATCTGATGAGATGATGTTGTAATTTTTGAAGCATAGGATGGGAAGGGGAGATGTGAGATCATAACATGCATCGGTCGCCACGTGGAGGATCAATCCCATTGTGTCCTGTAGAAAATAGACTGGTGTATTTATGGTGAGAAATTTCTTCGTTGTTGCACGAGTTTACCAATTTTTACATTGACAGCTGGGTGATTTTGTCACTGATTGTTATAGATGTTCTTCTCCTGTAGGTTTTGAAGACTCAAGGTCATCGAGCCCTCATCAAAACATCTAACAAGGAGCGACCTGCTAATGTTGTTTTTACTTGATCATGTATGCTCTCTTATCACAGACCTTTTTCATATATATGCACATATGCCCATCTTCTTAATTTGTTGGGAGTAGTTCTACATACAATTTGATCTGAACACATGGATATGTCTATTCTTAAGTTACTTGGAATGTTACATGCTAAAACAATATCCTCCTCGTGTGTAATTTCTTGAAACGACCAGCCCTTCTACTACGGTGTATATCGCATGTGCCTTCTTATTAATGTGTTAAGGTTGGATTGGATACCATTTCTGTGTACATGCTTCAATCTTTAGTGTCTAGATGCCCATACCGTTCAAAATTTCAAGCCTTCATTTCGTGACACCTTTAGCTTTGATAAATATTGACTTCATCATATCAAGAAAGATGGACCTTTTGCAAATGTAGTTGGGGGGACTTCTGAATGTTACTTTTGGAAATGAGAAGAAGACAATTATTGATATATGCACTGAACCATGGAATGAGTCATGTTCTCCAGCAGTCAATACAAGGCTCAGTATTATCAAATATGTTGTTACTACTTGGATGTGTTTGTTTGTCTTCCTTTGGAGGTCTTGTCTATCATAATAAAGACCACATCTGTAATTAGGTACCAATAAACAAAGTAGTTTTTATTTTCCACAACATGTTTTTATTTTAATTCACACATTTGATCTTTGTTGTTAACTCGGGATTTTATGATAGAAGTCTCCAGTCTGATGTTTCGAGCAGTGCTACACTTTACACCTTCTAAAGTGTACTAAGGTTTCTGTTTTGAGCTTATTTAATATTGTTTCGCAAATAGAATCGTTAGCTTGTTATTGGGTATAACATCTTATCTACGATGTCTCATCCTTAAAAGAATTTATACAAATTCCTCTCATTTTATTGAACAAATGGACGTGTAGCAAGCAAGGTCTTTCTTATGGCTCTTTCACAGCAGTAGACAACGCCAAATAATTAGGTGATTCCCACAACTTATTATTCCTTAGTTACTTAGTGTTGCTATGCTGCCTATGCACCATATACTATCCTATGGATGTACAATAGATATGGCTTCACTGATTCATCCATAAGATTTGGAGTTTAGAGTTTAGGGTAGTATGGTCGAGTAGTGCAATACTTTTCAACTATTTTCACCATCAATAATTTTCACACAGAAAATTGCATCCATTTTTTGACACTTTATCTATGTAAAAATATATGGAAAGGATATTATATTGCAAAAATAAGCGGGCGCAGCAATGCGCGCCTTCGACGATCTAGTATCAACATAAAAGCATGATGCAAAATGGACGTATCAGGCGTCGACCCGAGGCTCGCCGCTCGCGAGTTCGAGAAGGGTAACACTGTTGATATTAGGCCAACGCCGAATACGAGGAGCAGCCATGGCAACCACCTGAGTCCTGTGGCGGTTGGTCACATTGCCCGTGGTGATGTTCCTCTCATGTGTGCGCAACCACCACGGGAAGAAGAATCAACATGAGAGCACGCACGACGGGCAACCACCACCTGAAGAAGAATCAGAACTGTCCGTATTTGTGTATTTTCTTGCCGATGACAAGTGAGATGAGCACGACCTTGATGTCTGTGCGCGCTACCGGCAATGGCTCCCTCGAGCTTGGGCATGAACTGCTCTTGCTAGTCTGCCCTAGTTCTATTCATCTCCACGTACGACTCCAGGCCTCCTTGCGGTGGTGGTCCTCACCCTCCGACCTCTTTCATCACCATGAAGCACATCGCCCATGCGCCGCTGTCTAGCACTAGTGAGAAGGGCGGCCCGCGTCGAGACAACCAAGGTGAGTGCCCACTATACGCTTCTCGTCGGCTTTGTATTCATCAGGATTGGCTTCTTGTGCGGGTGTCCGGGTTGGGTGGTATGCAGGTCAGGCTCGTCGGTATGGTAAACAGCAAGCTGGAGAGGAATATAGATGTGTCCTTCACGGTCGACAAATGACATTGGCCGCATCAATTTATGAGATGGTGACCGCGAGCATATTCTCTCCCGTACGCCAAACTAAATCGCCAGCCCGCCCGGCCCTCGCCGCCCGTGTGACGACCACCTCCCTGCCCTCCACACTTGACCCCGCCTTGCACCTCGCATTGCTGACCACAAAGATGCCTTCTATGAGCTCGAGGTCTGCTCTCTGCTACACCTTCATCTACCGCCTTGCGTCCCTGCTCGACCTCGGCTGCCGCTGTCCACCGAAGGGGCCACGGGTGGGGTTGGGTGACGGTGCGCAAGATGCTGCAACGTGGATGGGTGGAGATGACTCCATCCTCGAGGAAACTGGTGCAGGGCCTCCAGGGGATCCGACCCGAGGACGCGCCTCCACTACTCTGTTGCGACCTGATGGAGCGCCTCCGTCCGCTTCAATGTAAGGTACCCTTTTGCCTCCCTGTAGTCCCTGCATTAATTCCATGCCAAACACATACAGTCATTCGCATCAAAATGTACACAGCCATACAACTAACGATTATGGTGTTCACGTTTAGGCTGACCTTCATAGTAGGGAGGAGAATTTACGTATAATATATCTTCATAGTATATTACCATATAGTCTCTACACAAGCACAAGCCAGATGCAAGTCTTTGTAACCTGGTGCATTGATGCAGTGGTTATGATAGATACGATGGTGTATTGGCCTCACCAAGCCTGCTGCTCATAGTGATGTGCACTCCATGTTATTCCTTGCATAACGGTTATCTCTCTTCAACATGGATGCACATGATCTGTTTGTCATGTAAGGGCTATTCCCTTCAAATTATACTGAATAACTGATCCAAGGTTCCTTTTTTTATAGTAGCTTTTAATGTTGTCCCGACTCTCAATGCAACACAGAAGATGATTGAATTATATGATATTGTGCTTCCCCTTGAATATGTTCATCTTTTGATAATGTAAATTTTGAAGGACAAATACATGACCATTAATTCGTGAAATGTAATTAAATTTGTTCACTAACGGATTGGCAAGATTTAGTTACATGGATATTGAATTTCTAAAATTCATGTTGCATGAAGATAGCAACTAATTCTTCACAATTTTAGAAATGTTTTACAAAATATTTTTGTTTCATCCACCACACAAGTAACTACTTGAGCCACATTTGAATTCACTCTAGCTAATCCACTCAGATTTGAAAGTAATTATACATGATGTGCAATTTGGGTATGCAGAATGTTCAGTATTTATTTTGAGTGCCCATATATTGAATATATGAAATGTCTTCATCTTCCTGCTACTAATCTGATATTACAAAATTCAAGAGTCCCAGCTGTCAAGATATTTTTTTCAAGGTTATTTGCATGCAAGGTTGGGATCAACAATACTCATTTGTAACAATAGTCTTGCCTTTAGGGTACAATTTAGGTTATAACAAATTATGCCAACACAGTTAACTTAGATCAGAAATTATTTTGTTTTTATTTATGATCTCCCGTCATGTTTTACTTATGGTCTCTAGAATATATATTTTAAGTTTATAATTTAATTTTAGGCATGCAATAAGTTCACTTTCTGGTACTGGGGAGTTGATGTGTCCATTTTCGAAGAATCCATTTAGTGCCTGCAGTTCACTCATTCACCTACATAGCCTATGTGAATTGGCGTCCCGAATAACCCAACCTCTATCAATCTATTGTCACTCTTCCTGAACCCAACCAACCCTAATTCATGGCAATCAACATTTCTTCTCTAGCGAAGCATAGACGTTGTCCTTGGAAGTAACTCGCAAAGAGTATCCCTCACATCCTGCTCAATGAGATTAGTTTTTTTTTAAGTTTTAAGCATTCTTTTGCGATGACGCGACTCAGTGACATGTGTGTCATGTAGTGGCCAAGCTCATCTTTTTGAGATTGCCATGTTCAAAGATGTTGTGACTAGGTGAATACCGCGGTCAACGTCGGCAAACATGGGAAGGAGGATAAGCTAAAACACTAGAGTGCGGTGTAGAAACAGAGGGTGGGGTATTGAGCAATACTTTTTAAATTATGGGGGTGTTATATTTTTTTTCCGTTGCAACCCACTGGCAAGTTTCGTACTAGTCCCTAAAAAAAATCCGTGAAAATGAAAACTTATCCTCTTATCTCGCCGGCCGCCTTCCTCCGCCTGCTACGCCGCACGCCCACGCCTCCCATGACCGCTCCGAATCTCAGGCATGCAGCAGCTCGCCATCCCAAGTCGCCGACGCCCAAGCGGCTGCTCGTCCGCCCCGGATTTCCCCCTTCCCGCTATCTGAAATTGCAAATCAGCGAGTTTCTACCGAACGCCCGGACCTCACCTGCAGGCCCCCGGCTCCAGCCGCCCAAATCTCACCTAACCCTCCACTCACCCACCTGCGCCAGCTCTAGAGAAGGAGGCGCCGGTGAGCGCACGATCGATCTAGTCCGTTAGGTGGGGAGCAGCCATGGCGGGGCACGGGGAGGAGGAGCCGCCAACGACGGGCAAGGTCGGAGGCGACAAGCTGATACTGCGGGGGCTGCAGTTCCACGGGTTCCACGGCGTGAAGCAGGAGGAGAAGACGCTCGGCCAGAAGTTCGTCATTGACGTCGACGCCTGGATGGACCTCGCCGCCGCCGGGGACTCCGACGACATCTCCCACACCGTCAGCTACAGCGACATCTACAGGTGCAGTACCCCGCCCCGCCCCGTCTCAGTCTCATCATGGTGCTGTATAAATTCAGTCCACCTTGTCACTGCTCATCGATCGACCTGCTTGGCGTCGCGGTACAGTTAGCTCACCATCCGTTCCGTATCAGAGAATGCTGCCATGCGTACGTTCACAGTGATTCCTTGCCGAACGTTTCGATTGCTATGCACCTCAGAACTAACTCTGCGGTTGGTACCCTCGACCTGTAATTAGTCCATTATATATGTATATGTTGCATTTCCAGAGTCAAAATATTGTTGGCAACGGACCGTATCGGATGGTATGACTGCGGTGGGAGTAGTTTGGCATAGACTAAATCAGAATAATGATGTTTTCGTGTAATTTACCAAGCAGTGTAATTAGATTCATCTTGTCAGCACAGTGTACAATCTCTGAGTGGATCAACAGTAAGCTACTCCCTTCCTTTTGGCTTCCTGATACCAAAGTATGTCATCCTGCAGGATAGCCAAGGGTGTAGTAGAAGATCCGTCCCATAACCTTTTGGAGTCGGTGGCTCAATCGATTGCCAACACCACGCTGCTCAAGTTCCCTCAGATCTCTGCTGTCCGAGTGAAGGTCGGGAAACCTCATGTCGCGGTGCAGGGCGTCGTGGACTACTTGGGAGTGGAGATACTGAGGCACAGAAAGGCATGAGCTTGAGCAGAACTTCATTTGGGAAAGCCTGGCCAAAATGCCCCCTCAGAATTGCAGTTGAGCTGATTTCTGTGTCTCATCTATAAACGTGCTGTTGATTGTCTTGTTACTCTTCGGCTGATGCTGAAATTGCCGCAATCACGGGAAAAAGATTGATAGTGCTACGTAATACTAGGTTTTGCGCAGACTGAAATAAAGGTCATCTTGCGAGTTGCGACGTGCATATAGGCTCTGAATATTTCTAGAGAAAAGGCACTCCATGCATCATACATAATGCAAAGGACATATCACCATATCGAGCTGAAACGGAAGGACGGATACCTGGCAGCTAAACAACAAGAACGGAAAAAGGGGCGTCTCCAACGCCATCACAAAGCCTCCCACATACGATTCGGACCACGCGGTATGGACATGTTTTGCGTGGTTCGGATG